AACGATAACAATAGGATTTGTGACATAGATAGGATCCGCCCTTTTTCACACGATTTGGATTTGCACTAGTATCACCCGGCGTCCATAAATCTTGTGTCCATTCCCATACATTACCGACAATATTACACAGCCCATAGACATTTTGTGGGAATTTATCAACTGGACAGGTGGTTTCGTAGCCATCTTCTTTGGTATTTCCATCCGGGAATTCACCTTGCCAAATATTTAACCTGCAATTGTTTGATAATTTTATTTTAGTTTTTGTTCACATATTTAATCGAATTAAAAAAAAAAATGCGCCAAAACATTGGATTATGACTATCTGGACTATGAGTCTAATGTGGACAACCCCATATCTTTGAAAATGCTTTAAAGAAGATAGCATTGCCTTGAGATATGTCTCACAGGAATATCAATCACACGCGAATGAAATATTTTTTATAGAAGTCCAAAACTGATTTTTATAAAAGAAATTCTGCATTTAGAACACCCTATAGATTTAGGAAACTCCGACCTCAAAGATGACTATATGATGTCTTACTTTAATTAATGTAGGACTAACGTTGGATTAGGATTATACTATTATACTACGGAAAGTCTTGGCTAGGCTATCTAGCGATCAAAAGATCTCAATATAGTATGGTTTCGTTACAATACTATTAAAAATTGTTTGCAATTGAAATGAATATTTTTAGTGCTGTCGACACACCTTACTTAGTGCAGTTGAACACACCTTATATTTAAACATATATATACAATACTCTATTTAACTCACCAATGTTCCCCTTTAGGCATCAACTTATTTCCCCATGGGAATAGTTTTTTCTTTTTACCACCTCGGCAAGCAACTTCCCATTCGGCCTCAGTAGGTAATCTTTTACCAGCCCATTTACAATAGGCCACAGCATCATTCCAGGAAACGTGTGTAACAGGATGATTTTCCAGACCGTTTAGATTGGTACCCCTTCCCATAGGATGTCGCCATGTAATACCTTTCACTTTATACCACCACTGTGCCGTAGCAACACGATAGTCTTCCCATTCGATTTGTTCATCGGCACTTAATAAACTCTTGAAAATAAAACTATCGCCAAATTTCTCCGCTTCCGTAACATATTTTGTTGCCTTGACAAACTCTCGGAACTTTTGATTTGACACTTCATATTTATCCAAATAGAAATCTTTGATTTCCACTAATTTCTCGGGCGATTCATGATCCTGGAGGAAGTGTGGTTCATCGGTACCAATTAAATATTTTCCACCCGGTATTAGAGCCATATCTTCATAATTTGGTTCCGGATAATAATCTCTATAGTGTTGATTATTCGTCCTTGCCTTTTGTTGGCATACTTTGGAATCTTCACTTGATACAACGTCATTATCTACCTTAACGACGTCAAGGAAATCTTTACCGGTTTTCTCTGCAGTATCTTGTCTGTCTAACTTGTTACAGCCGCAATCTAACTGGGCAGGTACAACCAGGAGGCAAATAATAAATGCAAATGTAAGGAACATTGTTAGCTTTTGTCGACAATTTAAAAAATTAAACAGATGTTGGAATATCAAATATCAACAAAATTTAAATTAGCGGATGGTAAATCTATGGCATGTACTTAATGTTCATCATCTATTTCAACTGGATGTCATCTATAAAATTTATGTCCTCTGTCTGTCTTCTATTTCTATAATCTGTTATCATAGTCATCTATATTTTTAAAGCTGCAATCAATATTTATTTTTTTTTAATTAAAAGAAGTTAATAAATAAGTATTTTGAAAAGTGATTCAAATCTTAGCAAGAAGGATTTCCAGGCATAATTATACCCTTCACCACACTGTGGTACAGGGTATTATGTCTTTGTGCATATGTTTGTAACAGGCAAAAGGAAACGAGATAGACACATGGTTCCTTTTGAGAATATGCATAGAATCACTTTCTAAGTCGATTTATGCATGTCCGACCGTCCGTCTGTCTGTCCATGTATTTTTGTGAGCAAAGTACAGGTCGCATTTATGATCCGAATTGGATGAAATTTGGCACAGCTCATTTGTTTGGCCCAAGGACGAACCCTATTGAAATTGGGAAAAATCGGTTCAGATTTAGATATAGCTCCCATATATATTTAACCGATTTAATGTAAACGGTCCCTATATATCTTTCGATTTGCACGGAATTTGGAACAGCCTAATCATTTAGGTCTAGAATGATGTCTGCCAAGTTTCGTGAAAATCGGTCAAGATTTAGATATAGCTCCCATATATAGTTTCGTCCGATTTTATGTAAATGGTGCCCCAAAGTCCCTATATATCTTTCGATTTGCACGAAATTTGGCATAACGTATTGAATTAAGCCTAAAGTGATGTCTGCCAAGTTTCGAGAATATCGGTCCAGATTTAGATATAGCTCCCATATATAGTTTTGCCCGATTTCATGTAAATTGTGCACCAAAGTCACAATATATCCTTCGATTTGCACGAAAATTGGCATAACGTACTGAATTGAGCTTAGAGTGATGTCTACCAAGTTTTGAGAAAATCGGTCCTGATTTAGATAAAGCTCCAATATATAGTTTCGTCCGATTTCATGTAAATGGTGCACCAAAGTCCCTATATATCCTTCGATTTGCACGAAATTTGGCATAACGTACTGAATTGAGCCTAGAGTGATATCTGCCTTGTTTCGTGAAAATCGGCCTAGATTTAGATATAGCTCCCTTTTATTATAGATTGATTTTAAGTAATTGACGCACAAAGGAACCAATAGGAACAAAACGTTCTGAAATTAGTATAACCTAACCTGTGACAAGTTTGAAATCGCTTAATATTTGGATAAAGCTTCCATATATATTTTCGCCCGATTTCAAGTAAATTGGGTATCAAACTCCTCATGTTAGTCAGATTGACATCAAATTTTGCACAACTTACAAAATTGAGCATATAATTACGTAGTTGCGTTTTCTAGAAATACAGATATAGCCCAACGGATGACCTATTTATATTTGTTTGAAGTCGATTTACATACTTTTGTCCCATTGTAACAAACGAATGACATGTTTATGGATAGATCTAGGTAGATTCACATTTAGATAAATATCACATATTTTATTTCATCCAATTTCATATTACTAGTCCTGTTCAGTATACCCATAGTGGTGAAGGGTACCATATAGTCGGCCCCGTCCGTCTTTACTACTTTCCTTACTGGTTGATAATTGCACCGAAATTACAAAAAGTATGAACAAAATGAAAACCGAGATAATGGTGGATGATGATGTGGACAATTCGCACCGAAGACATCGATACAAATGATGATTAAAAAGAGCAACATATTCAATATAAACTACAGGCACATGGAAAAGGGGGGCTCAGAAAAATGACAAGAAAATGTACACATTGATATCATGGGACATTCAGCAATGTCGGCGCCTAAACGCTTATCCATAGACATATGCTAGTGAATAGATGGATAAACTGTACAAGACATGTCTATCAGGGATAAAGTAGAGCAAGGGGCACAACAGGAAGCAATTATGTTGCCACGTCTATGGGTTACAACCGTGGTACAATAATAAGGCAGCTTGAGTTAAATAACAAAAAAAAAAAAAAAAAAAATTCAAAAGTCGGACGGGGCCGACTATATGATATCCTTCACCACTTTGGGTACACACAAGAGATGCTCAAATGTACAATATCCTGTAGATAGAATAGACATAGCAACTTTGGGGGACTATTGAAATGGAATCGAGCGAAATTAACTTTGTGAAGTACATATATATTTTAACTAAATTAAAACTACGTCTACACATACCATCCTGATATTTATGAAAAATTGAATGTCAATTATTTGTATGAAATCGAGCAAAAAATGTATGGTGTTATATAAAAATGGACGGTTGCTAACTGTATATAGGAGCTATATGTAAATCTGAACCGATCCAACAAAACTTCGCATACATCAATCGCGACCTAATTCAGTACTCTGTGCAAAATTTTGTCTCAATCGGATCAATATTGGGAGTTTGGTGCACTAATTACATAAACGGAACTATATATGGGTACTATATCTGAATCTTAACCGATTTTTACAAAACTTGGCATATATCAATCTAGACCTAATTCAAATGCCAAATTTCATCCAAATCGGATCAATAATGCGACCTCTACTTTGTTCGCAAAAATACATGGACGGACAGTCGGACGGATGGACATGCATAAATCGACTCAGAAAGTGATACTATGCATATTCTCAAAAGGAACCATCTATCTCGATTCCTTTTGCCTGTTACAAACATATGCACAAAGACATAATACACGGGATGAAATTTGGCACAGTTCACTTATTTGGCCCAAGGACGAAACCTATTGAAATGTGAAAAAATTGGTTCAGATTTAGATATAGCTCCCATATATAGTTTCGTCCGATTTTTTGTGAATGATACACCAAACTGCTTATATTTGTTCGATTGGACAAAATTTTGCATAGCAAATGCAATTGAGGAAAAATGATGTGTGATAAGGTTTGTTGAAATTGGTTCAGATTTATATATAGGTCTTATATATATTTTCGTCCGATTTTATGTAAATGGTGCAGCCTATGTTTGTTCGATTTACATGAAATTTCACAGAGGGTATTAAATTGAGTTTATAGTAATAACAAAAAATAAATGGTGCATGCAAGGGTTGCTCAATTAGGTCCATGTGTTTATATATAGCTCTCATACTCCGTTTCATACAAATGGTACACCAAAGAATACAAGTCTGCCCATTTGACATGCAATTTTTCATTGATTTCAGAATGGTATGTGTATGGGTTTTTTCAATTGGTTCAAATATCTATCTAGATAGCACATTTAATTTCGCCCGATTTCATCTCAATGGTCCTCCAAAGATTATATGTCTGTTCTATCTACAGGATATTGTAGACATTAACATATTTTGTATGTACAGAAAGTGGCGAAGGGTATCATATAGTCGGCTCCGTCCGACTTTGGAACTTTCCTTATTGGTTTTTTGTAGGGAGATTTGTTACCATATACGACTACAAAATACCAAATTGCAGCGAACTCGGGCTAAGCTTATTTAGGATCCATCCGAAAAATTGACCTATATTATTAATTTTTTGTGGAGAGATTAGTGGAAGTGATGCAAATGTGGTATAGGTTGGTAATGTGGTATAGTCACTTTTTTTGTAAACTGAAAATTTTAGAATAACTGAAACATTTTCTATAGTTTGCTGTTCTCAAAAAAATAAGATAGCAATGACCTGTTTAATTTATTTAAATCACGTTGAGAGTCAGTACCAAAAATTAAATTTTTCATGAAATTGACTTTTTTTCGGTTGAAGTTTAAAAATAATTTTTTGTTTTACGGATGTACTTTAATCCTTATTACTAAAGCATTAAAATAATCAGTATGAACTAAAAATCAAATAATATGCGCGATTGCATTACATAATCACCAATTTGGAAAAAAAACTAGACATTTCTTCAGTAAACACAAGTGTAGGTAATGTGGTATACCTTGATTCTGCATGAAAAAAGGCCAGCACTATACAAAATCTCATTACTATGTGAAACATTTGTACTCTACGAGAGTCTACCATGAATCACAGGGATGAAAAACAAAGGCTATGAGCTTTAACAACTTCTCCATACAAAAATTAAATATTGCCATGTGTAGACATTATTATATAATAAAAATTAAAGTTGCACTCAACGTATCCGTTAAAAATCTTAACAGACATAAATCTCGAGCTAATTCGCATTCATTAAAAACGATAAATTATATAAGATATCAATTGGAAGTGAAAATTATACTATACCACATTAACATCATGTGGTATACCACATTACCTGCACTTTTTTAAAATCACTTTTTATGGGATTTCAAATATTTTCTCAAATATCTCTTAAATTGTTAGAATAATATTATTTTCAAATTGATACATGGGAAGACAACACATGTAGCATGTTAAGTGTAAATTTTCAATTTAATCGGATAAAAAATAAAAATTTGGCAATCTAAAAACAAATGGGTATACCACATTTGCATCACCTCCTGTAGTACCTATTAAGAAGTCAAAATAATAAATTAGAGCCAATTTGGAGGAAAAATACGAACAAAACCCCCGGGGGCTATCGTTATATGGGGTCTACCAGAAAAAGTGGACCTATATTTATAATTTTTCGTGGAGAAATTTGGTACCCAATAAAAACCCTATATGCCACGTTTCAGCGGATTCGTTTGGAAAACTCAAGAACCCCAAAATACCGAAAATTTGAGGGGGACCCTTATATGGGAGCTATGTCTAAATGTAGACCGATATATCCTATCTGTGCAAAATTTCAGAACCCTTTAAAAGCAAATGTCGATTAGAAATGTGTTTTCCGCAAAATTAAATATACCGTGCCGGTCACGTAATTAGTACACACCAGAAGGGAGGAGTGTTCTGGTTAACCCTCGAATCGTTTGGAATATTTTTAAATATTTTTTTATTCAAACGCTTAGGTGTACTGT